CGATCTTGACACCGCTGGTACCGGCTTTCGTCAAGTCCACTCAGCTCCATATCCTCCCGTACCGCATCAGCTCCATCTCTTCTCCAGCCCGTAGCGCGCCCTTTCAGCCCTCTCTATCCGGCCAAATCGAGGCTGCTTGGGCATGCGGTGGCTGGGCATGCGGGCTACATGACCCAGCCAACGCGGCCTTGCAGCCTCACACTTATAACAGCTGGCAAGCCCTGATTGTCACCCATTCAAATAGAACTGGGGGGTGAACGGCGTCACCCCCTTCCACTACTCGGCGATTCGATGGTGCGTGATTCGATCAACAATATTTTTTTAATTTTCACGTTCTGAAAGATATAGCGCCCACAAATATCTGCAGGGGTTCGCGTAAGCGCCTTACGTAACTATGCCGTGTACGTATACCCCACAGCACTCTCAGAAGGCGGTTGGACTGATGATTGTGCATAGAACAAAACAATTTTCACGTGGAGGACACAGATATATTCACAAGACGTATCTTCCACTTATCAACTTGTGTTATGTTCTCGATGCCGATGCTTACAATGAATATGTTTGTGCATTATACAGCATAGGAATTGAACATCGACTCGCGCAATTCGATTAATCCAATCTCTCCGTCCCACCACGCGTATCACTTTGGTTCGCGGTTGCCCATGTTTGGGGCGACATCGGACCCGCGATGAAATTTCATGAACAAAAAATAGCCGGCTGGTCACTTCTTTGCCGCAACTCATTGCGTACCATAGGGGAACGTTTTTGTTTTAACCCGGCAAACCATATCGTGCTTCTAAATTTAGCGCGTTCGCTTACTTCCATCACTACAAGGCCATCTTGCAGTGATATAAATTACTGACTGTGTGTGTGTGTGTGCGGTAAATGTATGGGTATCCACCAAACCTATTTGAAAGTCCTATTCGGCCCTGGGTAAATGAAAAGATGTCCCCACCCATGCCGTAGCCCATTAAGAATTCACGGGCAGTGACCCGACTCAATGGTATAATTTTCCACGATATTACGGGCGGTTTCAATCTCACACGCGCGGATATATTTGAATGTATAAATATTACTCGCAGCTGCAACCCGTGGGCTCTGCTAATGGTTGTTCGTTGGGAGTGGGTTAGCGAACAAGTTTTACATATTGCTTCGGTATGGTTCCACAAAGCAAATCTTGCAAGTCAAATTCTTCTAATCGAGCCAAATAATGTTGGTACAATATTGAACAATGATGTCGGATTTTTCTTCAGCCTTTCATCATATACAGAGTAGTCGAGAGAGCAGAATGCATTGTAGACATGACCAAATCGTATCGTTACTCATTCCGTGTTTAACGTTTGGTTCACATTAACTGTGCTGTCCCCCTCACCGTTTCTTTTGTAAGTCGTTGCGAATGTGGCGGCCTCAAGTAGCCGAGAGTGTCACGTGTGCCAAATACGCGGAGCATGTAGCAATCTAAAGGCATCGCTTCTTATAACACTCGAGATTCCATATCAATGTTAATCGGTCGATGTATCGATGCACGGTCCCACTCCAAACAGTGTAGTCTGGTTCACACAGCAGCAGACGCGGGTTAACTCCCCCGAGTTCAACTGAGTAACGCACCACAGTTGGTCGATCGAGCGGTTGCGTGTGATGAGAGCCAAGTGTGGGTACGCCCACCTATTCCAAGACAATCTAGCCCGCGTGGAAGAGTAGGCCAAATACCTTCTGGAGGGATTATCTACAGCTCCCTCCAGTGGGATGCAACTGGGGTGGCTTGGGCAAGGGCTCAGCCTTTGTCCCTTTCACATACACTGGTGGTATACGCCTGTGGGGATGACAGTAGAGCAAGTGGTCTGGGAGCCCTTACGTGTGGACGTTTGAGTGTTATCGCATCGCGTTCGTGGTGGTGGTCTCGCCGGTGCGCGCTCCAGTGGCATCCCACACGAAGGCAAGACGCTTCGTCGTGGATTTGGTCAAACGTCCCCGATGCAGGACCTTCCTGAAATCGTATTCTCGAGAACTAGTGAGGTTATTTTGGGGGTAAAACACATTCCTGCGGAGGGAGCTGGTAGGAACGTTGGGTTGCTCGGTCAATGGCCAGGGTCAACGGTGGCGTGGTGTATTCCGCAAATACGCACAAGCCGGCGTGAGAAGGTTAAACGTTGAGTACCACTGATAAACCACATGGCTGGGCTGGGGTTCTCAATGTCAGGATGGCCGAGCGGTCTAAGGCGCCAGACTCAAGGCGAGTGAAGCCTTCCGTGCTTGAACGCGGGCAATCTGGTCTCCGAATGGAGGCGTGGGTTCGAACCCCACTTCTGACAAGACTTTTTATTTTATAACATTTAGTCTTGCCAAGCCTTCGGCCTCCCTTCGAACAACTGGACTCGTGTTGTGATTTCGTCGCTCCGTCTCCGTGGAGGTCATCCCCGGGGCTTGAGACTCAAGCGACGTGATGGCTGTTTGTGAATTCGCCGAGGTGTGCGTGGTCAGGATGTTCGAGCAGTCTCGGGAGCCAGATTCAAGGCGAGGAAGCCTTCCGTGCTCAACGCGGGGACTTCTGATCTCCGAATGGAGGCGTGGATTCAAACCCAGCTCCATGACATCAGTTTTTCTTTTTCTTTGCATTTTGACTGCTTGTGTTGTGGTTATTGCAAACATGATTCCCTTGCATAAAGGTGTGAGTTTTTGTACCAATTGAAAGGGTAAAAACTTACTACTATACCGCGTAATATAATTGTTATTTTTCCGAGCCTAGCATATACGATTCTTTTTTTTAAATATAATAGACGACGTATGTGAATGCTAAATTAATTCAGGCATGAGTGATGGTGTGACCTGTGGAATGCATAGGTTAATTGAGAATAATTAGAATCTTTACTGTCACTGAGAGGAAAGGAATATTTTACGTAAAATAAAAAAGCAAAGGTTGCCTGCTCACGCCAGTGCTGATGGCAGGGACTTTTAAAAAGGGCATTTCTCGAGAGTATCCAGCCCGACTATTCCTCGGTGGCCAGACGTCTTGGAAGAGGTGGCAACACCCACACTTTACCCCAGCACACACGTGAGCACATTGTTGGGCGGACAGAGACAGGAGGTGTTTAATAGATATTCCCATTTTCTTGGTTCTTTCGGTAAAGTCACGTAGAAGGGAAGTAATAAAATAATAAAAATAAAACATAATATAAGACTATTATATAATTTTATTTTTTATTATTTTATTACTTCCCTTCTACGTGATTTTACCGAAAGAACCAAGAAGATGAATCCCTGCAGTCACGAAAGCAGCTTTCAATCGAAAGATATTCCCATTGTTTCCAGTTCCAGTTCATTTATTAGGAGTTACCCTGTGAGCCATCCGGCACTTGGTTTGGGTTCAACCGCAACAAGCAATACAATTACAAGATACACCTAAAATTAATTGTATACAAATATAAACATCACATACGTAAACAATAAAATCCTACAGAAAAAGCACAACCCGTCCATGCTGCGTTTCAGCTGATGTCGGGACATTGTACAGGCATCCTCTGGATTGCAAGTCTGCTGTGCTGCTCGCCATTACAACAATGCATGTCTCTACTGTATTCTTGAAACGTTTTATTAAAATTGCACAATGTGATTAGTCGTACTGCATAAGCTGGCTGAAGAAGCTACTCGATTTTTTTTGGGACTCGTTTGTACAATGTTGCCCGTTCCAACAGCCTCGCTTGTAACATTGTCATTTTCTGTGCATAAAATACAATTGAGCGCGTGAGTCAATAAAAAAACAGCGAATTATACCACGCTCGGTTCAATGTTGGTTTCCAGGTGTCTTATCAATTGATCGACGCATCACCGCACCCCCTTACCCCCGAGCGCAGGGTTCGGTAACCCGCGGCTCTGCTTCGTGACGTGTCTTTATTAAGGATCACGGCATCGTATGCACATGCATTGCGACTCTAGAAATATCGAGTTTTTAACCGAATAAAAAAAATGCCTCTTCTTGTTATTTTCGTTTGACGACCCATAACCATGGGAATCCAGTTTGCCATGGGAGTCGAGTTTACCATAGAAGTCCAGTTCCATGGGAGTCCAGTTTACCATCAGAGTCTAGTTTACCATAGAAGTCCAGTTCACCATAGGAGTCGAGTTTACCATGGGAGTCCAGTTTACCGTGGCAGTCCAGTTTACCATTGGAGTCCAATTTACCGTGGGAGTCCAGTTTATCATTGGAGTCCAGTTTACCGTGGAGTCCAGTTTACCATGGGAGTCCAGTTTACCGTGGTAGTCCACTTCACCATGGAAGTCCAGTTTACCGTGGCAGTCCAGTTTACCATGGGAGTCAAGTTTACCGTGGCAGTCCAGTTTACCATAGAAGTCCAGTTTACCATGGGAGTCCAGTTGACCATGGGAGTCCAGTTTACCATGGGAGTGGAGTTTACCATGGCCCGAACGTCTCTTGATTGGCTCCAGTTGTCGCAACCACTAGGGGGGGCTTTAAGCACAGACATTGCTGGCAGGAGCCGCTGAGAGGTTGACGTCATGGGACTGTGTTGGTGTTTGTGGACACCTGCCGGTTCGGTCCGAGGCTCCAGGTTAAATTCCGGGCGATGTTTTTTTTTCGTGCGGTACAGCGTGCCGAGTGGCAAGAAAGACGCAAGGCAAATGAATTCGCCACACAAGCGAATTGATCTGTCAATGCTGCATGTATACATGCACACGTACGACACAGATGATCACTCGCACATGCGGGGATATCGGAAAGATTGCAATTATTGCAATTGATCACGTTAAAAGCATGTTTTAAGGCCCTGATTTTTTTTTGCGCTGAAGCAGAAATAAAATATGTTCAATAATGCATAGGCTGCGATCGGCGAGTCCTTTATTCATTCCGCGTTCTAATTCTCTAGCAACATCCAGCCCGCTACCTTGTAGCCTCCATCACACCCCCTCCCCTCACCTCCCCCACCCACCCACCCACCCCTCTCTCTCCCTCCCGTCCAATCTCTCTCCACCAGCTGATCGCCCAAAACGAACGATCCGGCTGGGTGGAGAACAGCTCTGGCAGTGCGGCCAGCCAGCTGCTCTGCTGCTGCACTTGCAGCAGTCTACGCGCTACTGCTGCCGCCGCTCTAGCTAACCCACCCCTTGGTGGTGACTGCCTTGCCCGCCTGCTTAGCCGAACGAAGCCAGCTTCCCTCTTGCGCAGCGCTCTGTGACGAAGCCACAGACTCGGCACAGGGCAGAGAGGAAAACGGGACCCCCCCCCCCCGCAATCATCCATCGCCGGACATCATGAGCTCGAGAAGTTCCAGTAAGTTGATGTCGTTTTGGCGTTCTTCGCATGCATAACGCGCGTAGTCTCTGCGTTTATGCTAATACGTCTATGTCCGTCGGTCATGCGGCGAGAGTGGAGCTGGTGGATTGACCATACTTCACCACGCTGGTAAGTGCGGTTTGGGAGAAAGGAATGCGTTTTTTTCTCGCCTCTCGCCGAGTGGCTGACTGCTTTGGGGTGGTGCACCCTTACCCCATCGAGCCACCCAGGTCGACTGAAGCAGTCACGCCGCTGCGCCACGGGAAGGCTGTCGGTGCTTCGTTGCAGAGGCGGCGGCGGCTCAAGGAAGCCTTCATCTAACAGTGGATTGATCACGGCTTGTGATGACATATACACGCATGTGTGTGTGTGATTGCGTTAGACGGAGCTGTGGTTGTCGATAGGATGTGTTCATTTGGGTTTGTTGTTTAAGCGAAATCATTCTGAATCGTCAGATCTCGGAAGCTAAGCAGGCGGGAGCCTGGTTTGTCGGCTACTTTGATGGGATGCTGTCTGGGAAAACCAGGTGTCATATGCGTGGGCTGCGAGGTGGCCAGGATGTGGCAGTACTGCCGGTACAGCAATTGCTTCAATCCACAGATGGATTAATTGTTTATTTGTGGATGGATTTTGGATCTCTCTGTGCGGAGCGTCCGAGTAACCACCCTCGTAGGAGGGTGGCATGCTTCTTCCGACGCAGTGTTGGCCAAATGTCCCATTGCAGGAGGACCCTTCTTGACAAGCGGGGTTTTGAGACTCATTGTATGCGCGTATGTTGCACTTCTTTTGCACCGTACGTAGACATCCGCGCTAATCGTTGAAGCTTTATTGCGTAAACAAAGGACATAATAGATCATTGTGATTTCTAGCAACCTCTACAGACACGCAGCCAGTAGCGTCGCGTCTAATTGTTTGTGCGTCGGAATGTCTGGATTGCAAATGCAGTACAGTCTATTGTTTTCCCCGCTGCATCATTGCGTCTGTTACTGGGGAGGAGTGGTGGCGCAATGATTAGCGCGATGCTCTGTGAACTAGAACCTATCGAAGTTCAATTCCAGGAGAGGGCTGACATCAGTGCCGAGGCCAGGTGTGCTTTATCCGATAGTTATATCTGAACCCACACTGACCAGCCCGGTGAGGTGTGGTTAAACGACCATACCTGGTTAAACGACCGTACTTGGTTCAACAACCGTACTTGGTTCAACAACCATACCTGCTTGAACCGGGCTGGGGAGGCCTTCATCCAGCAGTGGACTGACAAAGGGCTGTGAATGATTATATTGTATTATTTGCTGTTTGTGCTGTAATTAATATTCCGTCAATTAATATTACGGACAATTTGACAGTATACACACACGCACATTATTACATTGAATTCAGTTCGTGGGTTATGCTAAATATGCAGAATTCTTAAAACGATTTGGACAGAGACGAACAAAAAAAACCTTTTCGTTCACGAGCGGATTGCATTTCGGAGAAAACGCCACTGCAGTGCTCATACGAGCGGGATATGCTCACCACTGCCATCCCCTGGCCACAACGCCCACAACACCTATCAAGCCCTGGCGACGTTCACCCACACCCAAGCAATTCGCCAGGCTCAAACCCCTGCTTAGTTTTCGAAATCGGGCGCCGCATTCGCTGTGATTCGATGTTCAGGCAATCACGTTTTTCGCGAGAACGCCTGTTGGCGCGTGGGAATTCTGAGAGAGGCTCACTCCCCCTTTGCTGAAGTTCACGGGCGCGGCACGCGATTCCCACGCATGCCTCCGTCGCCAGTGGCTTCGCATCTGGAGTCGAGATGCGACAGTGGGCGTTGTGGACCGAGGCGCGATGACTTTGCAGCGCGGATGTAAGACTTGGGCATGCCCCGGTTTGTCGCAACTGTTTCCGCCACCGTCTCCTTCGCGTGGGCAGGATCCCATTCTTCTCTGTTCGGCGGAAACAAATCGGGCACGATCAAATGACTGGCACAGAACAATGCGATGATTGCCAGCCTATACTCGTTGCTCGGCGTTTAATTTAGCTGGAATAGTCGCGATGGAATGCTGTGCTTGGATTTTTTTTTTAGCAAACCACAGTCCATCTCGCCTTATTTTGTCCGTGTGATCCTGTGGTGGTGTGCGGGAACATATGACACAATAACATAGGATTGTTATGAACGGGCGTACCTTGTATTCTAGTGGTAGTGCCCTATGCCGATAATTAAGCCAGCCTAGCAGCGTTCTGGAAAATATCGAGCTGGGAATTGAATCCTATCACAGTGAGATTGCGACTCCAGTTACAGCAATGTGGTTGATACAGGACGATGCTTGGTACGTGCAAAGGCGAGGGTTAGAATTCAGGGAGAGGGGTCTTGCTAAAAATACATCACGATTGTCTCCAGTGCATATCCAAAACCATATTCTGTACTGACCTAAAATCACACGATCTACACTGCGGTAAATGTAGTCTCTTATATATGTGCGTTAAACCGCTGGTAACACTGTAGATTCTAGATTTGAAGCTTTCGTGACTGCAATGATTCATATTCTTAGGTTTTTTTCGGTAAAGTCACGTAGGTAAAAAATAAAAATTACTTTTATTAGTTAAAATTTTTTACCTACGTGACTTTACCGAAAAAACCTAAGAATATGAACACTGTAGATGTTTCATACATGTTATATATAGCACGCTATTAGGTAAGTGAGCCCTCTGAATCCCCACCATAGTGACACGCGCACCAGACAATTTGATAAATTAAAGCCCCTTTAGTCAATTAACGTGTCGGCGATAGGGGCTGTTGACCATACTTCACCACATTTGTCAGTGTGGGTTGATGAAAAGGACGGGGCCGGATTGGTTTACCCTTCTCTTAGAATCGAACTCGGGAGCTGATATATAACGCAGTGTGCCAACCCGTTGCGCCACCGCTCCTCGCACACAAAACAACGCAGTTATACCGGATTATTTGTGCCGCCTTGTTTTTTTTTGTTATCATCAACGCGCAGGCAATTTAATTATCAGGATTATAAGCGGCGTTTTTTTCCTTCCGGATAACTGAGAAGTGTTGCCCACGTGTGTTTGGCACGGGCCTTGGTCCCACGGAATTCGATGCCTGAAGAGACAAGGACAAAGATCCCCCGTGTAGCCTCAACAGACTGTCGGGGCAAGTGCTGAGAGCGAGCACCTATGAAGGCCGGCACGGCACACGAGGGAGTGGGTGGCTAGCACCACACTCAGCCACCTTTGTCTCCCCAGTGGTGATGTTTACACACCGCACCAGGTACTAATTTAAAGCTGAGTCGACCTAGGGGAGGAGGCCCGGGACCGATAATTAATCGTCACTTTGTGTTGGCCGTGAGCGGGATTTAAACTCGGGTCGCCGTGTTCGCAGCGCGCTCACCACTACCCACGAAACGACGCCTCACCCAACCCTCCCACGGCCAATCCCGTCCCCACCAACCAACACCACCCCCCCACCAACACCACCCATCCACCCATCCACCAACACCACCCACCCACCCACCCATCCACCAACACCACCCACCCACCCATCCACCAACACCCCCCACCCATCCACCAACACCACCCACCCATCCACCAACACCACCCACCCATCCACCAACACCACCCACCCCACCGACCCCACCTACCAACCCCACCCACCAACACCACCCATCAACAGCACCCACCCACCCCACCGACCCACCCACCCGCCAACACCACCCACCCACCCATCAACACCACCCACCCACCAACACCACCCACCCATCAACACCACCCACCCACCCATCAACACCACCCACCCACCCACCAACACCACCACCACCCACCGACCAACATCATCACCCACCCACCAACACCACCACCCACATGCCCCTGGTGTCCGGCGCAGTTGCACCGCCGGCGCTACGCGATAGCTGCGCTTGAATCCTTCGCCCGTTGTGGAAATAAAACGAGAGCAGCGCCGCTTCGCTCCGCTGGTGCGCTTACCGCGCACACAGAACGCGCGCCTCCTGCCTACACACAACCCGCTGACTCGGCTGACTTCACTGCCCAGCCGTCATTGTTCTTTACGCGCACACACACACACAGAGGTGAACAAAAGATCCCCCGTAAAGCCACACAGATTGCCTGGGGCCAACCGCCGATAGGCAGGGGCATAACGAGGCGGCTGGTGGTGGTCGGGATCACGCCCGGGCCGCCTTTGTCTCTTCAGTTGCGGGTGTTTTTACACGTGACAACGAAGGCTTGTCGACATCGTTGGGGAGCTGGGAGTACCCGTTGCAGATATGTCTTAGTCGTCGATGCTGGCCGTGAGCGGGAATCAAACTGGGGCGGCCGGCTTCATCGCGCGGTGGCGCGCTCACTACCCCCATTGGTTTGTCAAATCTTGCCGCTGATACCACTTTTGGAACCGCGCATGGTTCGAACATCTCTCTGTCAATCCACTGCTGGATGAAGACCTGCCCATTGCCGTGTCGGTCATGGCGGATATGCTGTCCATATTCTTGGTTCTTTCGGTAAAGTCAAGTAGAATGGAATTTTTTTTTTTTAATATTATTTTATTATTTCCATTCTACGTGACTTTACCGAAAGAATCAATAAGATGAATCCCTGTAGTCACGAAAGCTTTAAATCGAAATTTATGCTGTCCATACTTCATCGCGCTGGGTTAGTTAGTGCGGCTTGGTGTGAAGTGTGGTGGTTGCTGGTGAAGGAGGGGATTGATTGATGGCAAGACCGGTTCAGGTAACGCTCGCCGGCGATGTGAGAGCCCTGTACCTGGAATCGAAGTGGGCTCGCCCAGGGTTCACAGTGCAGTGCGCTAACCACCGCCATCAACCCGCACTGACCAGCGCTTGTGGTCAGTGTTTGAGAGATGGAGGCTTGTTTCATGAGTTAAAGTACATTGCTTGTACACCACCGGCAGCGGAGCGGTGGTGCAGTGATTAGCGCACCGCACTGTGAACTCGACCCGCGTGGCATGGACGAGCGAAGGGTAGGAGGCCCTC